TTAGCTTAGAAGTAGTTCCCTTAAATTTGTTAAAGATGTCATATGTAAATCATCCCCAAGCCCCTTGAATCCTTATATTTGTTGAAGCTATAAAAGCTCATGCATTTTACGCTTCTTAAATCATTATCCTACAAAATTCTAATATTAAATATATAATAACTTCTATTGTTAAAGTACTTTTAATACATCGCAAAATAAATTAATACCAAATCACTACTGTCACGCCTCTGGCGAGTTGCTATATATATTATAAATTTGATAATTTCATATTTATACTAAGTAAACTTATGATTCACTCTGTAAAATTTGGTGGTGACTGTGAGATCACAAACTTTTAAACCACAAATGTATTATATTAATCTAGAAATGAACAACAACTAATTCTAACAATTTATAGAACTAATGACTAAATTGATTAGTAGAAACAAAAATAAGGTCCTACTAAAAGAAAATAACCTAGTAAAAGTCAAGTATTTTTATAGTACTGACAATGAAGACTCTTTTGAATGGGTTGATGACTTTGAAAAAACTGCCAAAGCCAATAATTGGACAGAAAACTGGATGATGAAGATCACGTTGAGGTATTTAAAGAAAATAGCAGCTGAATGGTATAAAGAAATTAAAGGAGATATCAAATTTTGAAAAGTAGAAATTGACTCAGAATGAAGTAAAAGCTTCTATCATTTGTTTGTAGAACAATTCGCACCTGAAGAACATTAACATCATTGGCAAATTGAATTATATGAGTTACGGCAAAAAGAGTCTAAAAAAGTGGACGCGTATGTTATTAAATTTAAGAAATTACTTAGCCAGGTTAATGTTAATAATAGTTTTTCAGATGGGTATGTGGTAAGGATGTTTCTGAACGGGCTAAAAGAAAATAACGCTACATTCGTAGCTGTAGCCACCCCAAAGAATTTAACGGAAGCAATTGCTGCTACAAGGAGGGTTGAAGCTGGAGGTTATTAAGGTCAACAACTATCTGAGAGAGGAGAAGTACCACAACAAATAGGGAATAAGTTAAGTGATATGAAAAGAAAAATTGAGGGTTTGGTATTAAACTATATGACCTTAACCGAACAAATAAGGGAAACAATAAATAAACGTTTCTAGGAAAATTCACCTAAAGGATATTTAACAAATAATCAGTGGAAAAGTAAGAGATGTTATAATTGCAATAAAACAGGTCATATAAGTAGACATTGTTTGTCAGAAAAAGTAAATTACCCTTATAAAAACTCCAGAGATGAAAGAAGAACTCTTGATCAAACAAAAACTATTAGTTTTTGTGAAGTAGAGAATAATGGCAAGGAAGTATATACGGTAGATGATATTAGCCTACAAAAAGTAACAAAATGTCTGGCAAATCCAAAGTGAGAAGATAGGCTACGCAAGGTGGTTAGAGTACCTCAAGAAGATATAGTAGGGGAACAAACTAAGGAAATAGAAACCCTCCTATTATACAGCAAACACTTCTCTCAGTTAAATCAAAAAAAAGACGCAGACCCTCAAAAATTGATTCTTTGTGACTCTATAATGTAGCAGATGATATTCTATCTTTACTACTAGTGCTACAGTAGGGCAGATACTTCAATATCCTAATCAAAGAAGAAATCTAGCTAAAATATTAAAATGACTATCATTTTTAAAAGAAGCAAATTTTCTTAAAGAACACCTTCATACAACCATTGCTTGATGTTATGTAAGGATTTGTAATAATTCGGTCTTGGCCATGTTGAATTTGAGTGCCACAGTGAGCATTATATCCAAACAATTATTGGATAAATTTGGGTTGGAAATAGATGATGAGTCTATTACGACAGTAATGATGGCTACAAGGACGAAGGCCAAAATGCTGGAAAAAATTAAGGATGTGAGAATAATAATTAAGGATGTTGTAATTCTCACTACCTTATATATAATAAAATCATCGGATGATATCCTATTATTGGGAATCGATTGGTTCCAAAAGACAAAAGCTCAAATTCACTTTGACGAGCAAAAATTATATTTAAAATATGCTAATCAATTAGCAGAAATTTCAATTTCAAATAGTGAAATTGAAGGTCTCATTCCATACAAAGATAGTGATACGTATAGTAAAGGTGAGGATACTTTTGATGAATTCGACTATGAGAAAGATGAATTCGATGAAGAAAGTTGACTAACAGATAATAAGAAAAGTCCTACACTATACCTTACTAATATAGTAGAAGTCCCACACAAGAAGACAGTGAGGAAAAATCACTAAAAGAAAAAATTAAAGAGATGATTAACAACGACGAATTAATTACATCACAAAAATTAAAAATTCAAAAATTTCTACTTAATGAAGTAGAAATGTTTGTATAAAGTCTTAAAGATTTAAGATGTACTAATGTTATCACATATGCAATTAGTACAGGCCATGCAGTTCTGGTAAAACAAGGGTATTATAAAGCCGTCTATAAAGAAAATGAATTTATTAAAAAAGAAATTAATAAGCTGAAACAACAAGTATTAATTATAGAAATAAACAGTCCCTGGGCATCTCCAGTAGTGATAGTGCCTAAGAAAAATGGTAAGCTATGCTTTTGTATAAACTACCGGAAATTAAATGCAGTCACTAAAAAGGATACTTATTCGCTACCTCATATTAACAACCTTTTGGATACTTTTGGGATGGCTGAATAGTTTTCCACTTTGGATTTAATGAGTAGATATTGGCAAGTCAGCGTGAATAAAGCAGATATTGAAAAGACCACATTCATTACCAAATACGGCACATATACATTCAAAGTAATGCTGTTCAGCCTTTGTAACGCTCCAGAAACATTTCAAAGACTGATGGATAAAGTACTAGGAGAGTATAATGGTACCTTTGCCGTCATATATCTTGATAATATCAATGTTTATTCAAGTTCGTTCAAAGAACATTTAGAACACCTAAAAGTTATTTTAGATAAGTTAAGAAATGCTGAATTAAAATTGAAAACGGAAAAATGTATCTTCTTTCAGTCTGAAATAAATTACCTTGGATACATAATCAACAAAGAAGGAGTAAGACTCTATGAATCTAAGGTAGAAAAAGTAAAAAACTTCCCAGTACCATAAAATCTTCACCAATTAAGAGGATTTATTGGGTTAGCTTCTTATTACCGTCGATTTATAAAAGGATTCGCAACAATAGCCCGACCTCTATATAAATTGTTGGAGAAAGATATCCCTTATAAATGGATGAAAGAAAGACAAATTGCATTTGAAACATTGAAACGATACCTTATGATGGCACCTATATTAAGATATCCTGATTTTAAAGATATGTTTTATTTGTATACCAACATATCGGGTGTAGGGTTGGAAGTGGTATTAGTCCAAAAAGATAAGGACTACAAGGAGTATATAGTAGTCTATGCCAATAGAGGGCTTTCAAAAACTGAACGAAACTATTCAGCTCTAGAGGTAGAGTGTTTAGCCGTAGTATGGGCTGTCGAACACTTTCATTATTATTTGGGCGCCAAGCACTTTATTTTAATTATGGACCACGCTACTCTTAAGTGGTTGCATACATCAGAACCAAAAGGGAAAAGGGCTCGATGGATTTTAAGACTACAGCCCTATAACTACTCTATTATACACTGGGCTAGTAGAAAACATTCTAACATAAATGCATTATTGCAAATGTATCTACGAAATTAAAAAAAAAAAACAAAAAAAAAAACTTTAAACTAATTTTAGTAAGAGCACTAAACTGGTAAAAGGTTCTCTGCCTGTAAGTTGCTTTGTTGTCAAAAACTTTGGTAAAAGGTTTTCTGCCTATAAGTCGCATTTGTTGTGCAAAAACTCTGGTAAAAGGTTCTCTGTCTGTAAGTCACATTTGTTGTGCAAAAACTCTGGTAAAAGGTTTACTGCCTGTAAGTTGCATTCGTTATACAAAAACTCTGGTACTTGACTAGTGCAATTACAAAATTAATTAATTTAAAGGCTTGAAGTAGATAAATAAAATATAAAAGCGCAGACAATTATATTAATCATGAAAGAAAGAAAAGAAAATCTCCAAAATGAAATCTGATGTAAGAATAATCCTGTTCAAGTAGTTGGTATCCTGGCAATCTAAAGATGGATCCACTTAGATATTAACTATTAAAAACTTATATTACAGAGCGTACTTTATCCCGAATGTTAACTCCACAAGAACGACAAAATATACAAGCCCAAAGCCAATTCTTTGTAATAAAGAACGACTTAATCTACAAAAAAGATAAGCATAAGATCAATCATCTGTTACGAGTTATTCAGAATTATGAGGTTGAACCAATTATATTTTTAGTTCATACTTATCCATTGAGAGGACACTTAGATATAGAGATAATATTTAATAAAATTCGTGGCAAATATTACTGGTCACAAATGTATACTGATATTCGAAGGTTTGTTCGAACCTGTGATGCCTGCCAGAGAAGGGGAAAGAATCTAGTTAAACCTTCTTTACACCTGATTCTGGTTGAGGCACTATTCTTTAAAATTGGAATCGATATCGTTGGGCTATTACTAAAGACTCTACGGGGTAACCGTTATATTGTAGTTGCTATGGACTACATGACTAAATGGCCTGAAGCTTAAAGCAATTAAAAATGCTAATGCTCAAGAAGTAGCTGATTTTGTATATAAAGATATCATATGTTGTCCTCAATATATACTTTCGGATAGAGAACATATTTCCATAATCACTTAATGGATGAATTTCTAAGAAAATTCACCATTGCTCACCATTATTCGACACCCTATCATCCACAAACAAATGGATTAGTGAATTGTTTTAATAAAACACTTTGTGAATTTATAGCTAAGCTAGTAACTAATGTGAGGGAATGAGATTCTTTAATATCTTCGGTACTTTTTGCATACTGTATGGCCAGACAAAATACGACCAAAATGACTCCTTTTTTCTTAGTATATGGTAGGGAAGCAAAATTTCCACTTCATCCTAGTGATACTGAAGAGATATTAGAGGGAACGTTTTTACACAGACTTTTTGAATTAATTGAAATATTACCTGAAGTAAGAAATAACATCGTAAAGCGAGTTGAAAAAGCACAAGAAAAGGCAAAGGGAATCTATAATCGTGGGTTACCACCTATACAAGATTTTAAGAAAAGAAAGTTAGTATTAGTATACAAAGCCTCTCAACAATATTCAAAAAGCTATAAACTCCATCCAAAGTAGAAAGAGCCTTTCGTCATCTATAAGATGCTCCAAAAGTGCATATATAAACTACGCACTGTAGAAGGGAAGATAATAAAGACACCTATAAATAGAAAGTTAATAAAACAATACTATTCTAGATAAGGAAAATTTGAAAAGGTATAAAAAACAAAAAAGGGCATGAATTAGTTAAAATTACCTTTTATGATAACAAT